TGAAACTTTTTCGATTAGCATTATTATCATCTTTACGCTGCAACACTTGTTAGAATCAAACAATATTGATTTTTTTATCGATTTAGAAGTGGGGGGGACCTGTTTCTAATACCGATCCAGTGCCAAATCAATCCTTGACTGTTAATGTCATGGATTTAGCTATTATTTACGAGATGTCAAGTTTGAAACTGTGTTAACATCAACGATATCTGCATATATGCTTTTTTTTTTAATTTTTTAAAACAATTTAAAAAAAAAAATTCTTTTTAAATTTAAAAAGAAATATTTTTACAAACAAAAATTTTTTTCAAACCTTTTTGTATGGGACTTTTTTCAATAGCACATGCATAAACATTTGAAATTGATAATTATTTATCTTAAATGAATAAGTGGATACATATCTATAACATAAATTTTTGTGCTTTAATATAAAGTCTATATATGTGTTCGTTCTTTATTTAAAAGAAATCTTTTCTTAATGCCTGAAAAGTCTGTTTTCATGCCTAAACAACAGTCATAACTCTGGAAAAGTCAAAGACTGTTTTGACAGGTATCAATATGTTATAAAATAAAATAAGACATATCTCAGCTGATTTACAGGCAAATAAACTAACATACTCAAGAGCGAGAGTCGGATGTGAACGGGACAAGGCTCCGTCACAAAATGACCATTATCTTCGTTTACACATGTTCCCGACAAAGATGAGTTCGGTCGAAAAAATAGAATAATATTTTAAAGTGTTTCTATTTTTCGACCAATAAAAATGCTTCCCTCCTAATTATACTCACATGGTTTTTCAAGCCTGTTAAGCCATAAAAAAGCGTCATAAAAGGGGTCACATGGAAGTACAGCAGGCCAGGGAAGAGACCTGTCACGGTCAGCAGCAGTCAGCAGGGGGAGCGCCAGCACCAACCAGTGTGAACTACTATGAGAGATCAATCCAGATCTTCAGCCGGCCTATGAACTATACCATAAGGTAGCTGTCCCAAAATCACACGTTCCTATTGAAATAAATCACATAAATCTATTTCTGCTGTTGTCGTATTTCTTTCTTGCAACCATACGCTTGTCTATAACAAATATTATACACCAGACACACTTCTAAATCGATAAAATCTTTCACTTCTGACAAATGTCACAGACTATGAAAAATTTGGAAAAATTTTTCACAAAAACATTTTTCCATTTATTTTTTATGCTAGCGGACTAGAAAGGATATATAGAATTAAAAGACAGAAATAGCAAGAAATAATAATAATCTGGGCGGTTAGCTTTGATTGTTCTGTCAGTGTGTATTGTGTAGTCCCATAGAATTGTAACAGGTCCTATCTCCGTAACCATGTCTGGGTGGTGTTCATACCACTTTCTTTCAGATTCCTTCCCATAGAACTTACAGATTTTCAAATGTAAATCGAAATCTCGAAAATGTGGCAACATCAACAATCCCTGTTGTAATTGGAGCCCTCAGATTGGTTGGAAAATATTCCAGTAGACTAATTGAAGGGATCTCTGGAAGCCTTAAAGAAATACAAAAATTGTTCTCAGAAGTACAGCCCACACCTTACGAAGGGCTTTGTCTATGTAATATTTTTTTTTTTTTCCCCAGTGGAAAATGTCATGATGCCATTTCTATCCTTTAGGTCCCTGGACGGGACCCGGAAAGAAATGAGTACACATCAGAAATCAAAGGATATAAAATATAGATGATAATAATAATAATAACAATACTAAGAAAGGATATTTAGAATTAAAAGACAGATATAGCCAGAAATAATAATAAAAGATATTAGAATAAGAGGACAGAGAAAGCCATAATAATAATAGTAATAATGACAATAATAATAATAATGGCAATACTAAGAAAGAGTGTTTAGAATTATCTATCTATCTATCTATCTATCTATCTATCTATCTATCTATCTCATCTATCTATCCCAGTCCAATCATTATCTATCTATCTATCAGTATCATTATCTATCTATCTATCTATCTATCGCAGTCCAATCATTATCTATCTATCTCAGTCCAATCATTATTATCATCTATCTATCTATCTATCGCAGTCCAATCATTATCTATCTATCTCAGTCCAATCATTATCTATCTATCTCAGTCCAATCATTATCTATCTATCTATCCCAGTCCAATCATTATCTATCTATCTATCTATCTATCTATCTATCTATCTATCCCAGTCCAATCATTATCTATCTATCTATCTATCTATCTATCTATCTATCAATCTATCTATCTATCTATCTATCTATCTATCCCAGTCCAATCATTATCTATCTATCTATCTCAGTCCAATCATTATCTATCTATCTATCTATCGCAGTCCAATCATTATCTATCTATCTCAGTCCAATCATTATCTATCTATCTATTTCAGTCCAATCATTATCTATCTATCTATCTATCTATCCCAGTCCAATCATTATCTATCTATCTATCTATCTCAGTCCAATCATTATCTATCTATCTATCTATCTCAGTCCAATCATTATCTATCTATCTATCTATTTATCTATCTATCTCAGTCCACTCATTATCTATCTATCTATCTATCTATCTATCTATCTATCTATCTATCTATCTATCGCAGTCCAATCATTATCTATCTATCTATCTCATTCCACTCATTATCTATCTATCTATCTATCTATCTATCTATCTCAGTCCAATCATTATCTATCTATCTATCTATCTATCTATCTATCTATCTCAGTCCAATCATTATCTATCTATCTATCTATCTCAGTCCAATCATTATCTATCTATCTATCTATCTATCTATCTATCTATCTATCTCAGTCCAATCATTATCTATCTATCTATCTATTTGGGCCACCTTGAGGTGGTGCAATGGTTAGCAAGCTTGTCTCGCTAGAACAATTACGACTGAGTAATGAGTTTGATTCCCCCCGGGCCGCCCCTAATTTCGGCCTTATGCCACATCTAAGCTATGATTGGAAAATAACTATCTATCTATCTGTTCCAGTACAATCATTATCTATCTATCTATCTGTCTGCCTATCTATCTGTTTCTTTTCTTACAATTCTCACTAATGGAACTCCCTTCCGACTTCATGCTTTCCAGCCAACTTTAATTTACAAAAATTTAAATGCAATGTCAATCACTATTTACCTGTCCTACTGATTACTTTTTTCTCTTCCCACTCATTATTAATGTTTCTGTTCCTAATTCTTTCACACCCTGTAACCCCTTGTGTCTTAGTGGCTTTACTGCCTTGCCTGGGGTGGTACCTATTTAATAAAAAACAAACTAAAAAACGAAAGGCAGTGTAGAATGAGAAAGCAGATGTAGCCAGAAATAATAATAATATGTTGATTGAAGTTGTCAGAAGCTGAGAGACATTCAGCCTACTGTTGTTCCAATTATGATTGTGGGTGTTGGTATCTGTACTACTAAACTTAAATTCCTACATTGGGAAAGTCAAAATCATTCCTAGTATCCTATCACTTCAGAAGCCTGTGTTACTTGGCACTGCAAATATTTTGTGAAAGGTGCTGCCTGTTTGAGGTCATACAACTTGAGAGCAAAGGAACAGCTGTACTTGAATATTTCTAATTAAAAATGAAAACAGTTCAGTTAAACCATTAAAGTTTATTTTTAGAAAATTTCAATTTGGAAATGTGGAATGACTCTTTAAAATCTATAATAATCTAACACAGGGGTGGGGTGTCCAAACTTTTTATTTACTATTTTTATTTTATTTGTTTTTTTCTCTTTCGAGCAGATAGGTTTGCCTATCATCCAGTTCACACTCCTCCTTGGGCTTTTGAAAAGCAGGGGTGTCAAAACTTTTTTCAAAAAGAGCCAGATTTGATGAGGTGAATATGCATGAGGGGAGGGCCAACCATTCTCCTTGGCATTCTTTGAACCATTAAAATTAAATGAAAGGAACTATCTTATGAAAATTTTATAGCAAACAGCATATTTTCATTTCTTTACATAGATGACAAATAACAAATAAACTTAAACATGTCTTACCAAAATCACTCTGCTTGTCTTATCCGAAGCCCATATAAGTAAAATATGTCTGAGAAAAAAGAACTTCTAGGAAGCTATAATATATCTCAGGTTAATCTTAAACATTACATATTATTGGTAATTAATATTGCCTGTCAACTTTTCAGTTATAAAAAACATATGAAAAGGAATATAACACCAACATTCATCTTATTAAGAAGTAAAAAACAAAGTGACACAAGTTCAAGTGTCCAAATAGATTTTTGACTGATTTTGATCAACACAAAACAAATTTAATTCATCGAGATTTTAGAATTTATTTATCTCAAATAACCAAAACAAATAACTTGCCCGCACTAATGTGAAGGGTGATACTTAGATCTGAACTGCACTATGTAGGCCAAGTCTGGTTCAAAGGCAATGATTTTAGAAATTGGTTAGAAGAGGCCAAGGTCAAGGTCACACCACCAGAAAGCATTTCTTAGGTGTGTACTTTACATACTCTGATTGACAATACTGGCCAGGTGTAAGTGATCCATTCTATCCCATCAGAGGTTGGGGGCCATATGAAATATGACCATGGGCCGTAATTGCACCCCCCAGGCTGTATTTTGGATATGCCTGATCTAACATATACAATTTCTATATGTAAAATGTCCAACCTATTTTGAATATCCCGAGGACTGGTTGTGCAGCCTTGATGAAGCGACTATTTTGTTCAGTACTGTATGCCGGTTGTATTCATGTTTACTTTGCAGAAGAAATAGACCCAGATTGAAGTTACTAGAATGTGGGATATTCAAGCCACTACTATCCCAGTTACCATTGGGGGTATTGAGGTTTATGGGGGTCGTTCAAAAAGTTCTAAGCCTCACCCAGAAAGAAGAGCCATAGGCGAACATTTTTGTTGTGGCAACACACTACAACTTCCTATAAAACTAGAAGAACTAAATCAGATTTCTGTCTTTATTTATGTCTTAATAGATAGATAGATATGAGAAGACGCTAGATAGATAGATAGATAGATAGATAGATAGATAGATAGATAGATATGAGAAGAAGATAGGTAGATAGATAGATAGATATGAGAAGATACATAGATAGATATGAGAAGAAGATAGATAGATATGAGAAGAAGATAGATAGATAGATAGATAGATAGATAAGAACAGACTGAGATAGATAGATAGATAGATAGATAGATAGATAGATAGATATGAGAAGACGATAGATAGATAGATATGAGAAGATGTTAGATATGAGAAGACGATTGATAGATAGATAGATAGATATGAGAAGATGATAGATAGATAGAGAAGAGATGATATGAGAAGAGATAGATAGATAGATAGATATATATAGATAGAGATGAGAAGATGTCAGATCCTGAGAAGGCAATAGATAGATAGAGAGATAGAAGATAGATAGATAGATAGATAGATAGAATGAGAGAAGAAGATAGATAGATAGATAGATAGATATGAGAAAGAAGATAGATAGATAGATTGATAAGAAGATAGATAGATAGATAGAAAGAGAATGAGAATAGATAGATAGATTGATAGATAGATAGATAGATATGAGAAGAAGATAGATAGATAGATAGATAGATAGATAGATAGATAGATAGATAGATAGATATGAGAAGAAGATAGATAGATATGAGAAGTAGATAGATAGATAGATAGATAGATAAAGATAGATAATAATGAGAGTAAATTCAAAAGTTCTAAGCCTCACCTAGAAAGAAGAGCCATAGCTGAACATTTTTTTTGTGGCAACACACTACAACTTCTTATCAAACTAGAAGAACTAATTCAGATTTCTGTCTTAATAGATAGATAGATAGATATGAAGATAGATAGATAGATAGATAGATAGATAGATAGAAGGGTTGTTCAAAAAGTTCTAAGCCACACCCAGAAAAAAGCCATAGCTGAACATTTTTGTTGGAACAACACACTAAAACTTCTTATAAAACTAGAACTAATTCAGATTACTCTCTTAATTTCTGTGCAGGTGAGGCCAATACAAAGGTGAGAGGTGTGTGACAAATCTAAAAATGGACAAGACAAAGACCTGAGCAGTCATAAAGTATCGGCAAAAGAAAGGTATGATACCCAAGGAAATCCATGAGGACATGGTACAGACACTTGCTGAGCACTCTCATTTCTTATGCCAATGTTAAGAAATGGGCTGCGAAATTCAAATGGAATAGGGACATCACAAAAGATGACCCTTGGTCAGGTCATCCAAAAACCTCAACTACTGATGAACAAGTTGATTCCATTCACTATGTGGTTTTGGATGACAAACATCTAACTGTCCAGAAGAGAGCTAAGCCCATAGGCACAAGTTTTAGTTTGGTTCATATTGTTTGAACTGAGATCTTGGGGATGAGCAAGCTGTCTGCAAGATGGGCCCCAAGAATGCTGATGTCAGAGCAGAAGCTGAAAAACGGTTGACATTTCCAGGATACTTTAGGCAGACGCTGAGAATTTCTACCACAGTTTGGTAACTCAAAATGAAAACTTGGTTCACCTCTTCGAACCTGAATTAAATATTCAAAGCAAACAGCGGAAACACTATGGTTCTCCACCCCCAAAGAAACTCAAGCAGACTCTCTGTTGGCAAGGTGATGGCCTGTTGGCATTCTTAAGGCATAATCATGATAGACTACATTGAAAATGGAAAAACTATTAATGGACAGTACTATGAATCAGAATTAAGACAATTGAAGGAAGCAATCAAGTCAAAACGCAGAGGGGAGCTAAAGATAGATGTGTTCTTTTTCCAGGATGACGTACCCATTCTCACTGCTCAGGTTGCAGTAACTGAAGCAGCCAAATGTGGCTTTGAATTTCTATTTCACCCGGCTAACTCACCAGACTTAGCTCCATCTAACTTCTTCCTGTTTCCTTAACTCAAATCCCACCTACCTGGTTGCCATTTTGTGCTGTGGAGGAGTTTTTGGAGGATCAGGATGCCATCTTCTTCTGTGATGAGATTGCAATACTTAAGCAACGTTGGACCAAGTGCATTAGTTTTCATTCAGTTCATACTGTTTTAACTGCAATCTTCCAAATGAGTAAGCTGTCTACAAGATGTGTCCTAAGAATGCTGATCTACCCCATCCCCCTGACTCACCAGACTTAGCTCCATCTGACTTCTTCCTGTTTCCTTAACACAAATCCCACCTACATGGTCGCCATTTTGGAAATAACAATGGTCGCCATTTTGGAAATAACAATGGTTGCCATTTTGGAAATAACAATGTGATCAAATGTGCTATGGTGGAATTTTTGGAGGACCGGGATGCTGCCTTCATCCAGGATGGAATTGCAATGCTTAAGCATCATTGGACCAAGTGCATTAGTTTTCATTCGGCCCATACTGTTTTAAGTGCAATCTTCCGAGTGAGTAAGCTGTCTGCAAGATGTGTCCCAAGAATGCTGATCCCAGAGCAGAAGCTAAAAAGGGTTGACATTTCCAGAACAATTCTGACTCACTTCCAGGCGGACACAGAGAATTTTCACTGCTGATTAAAAAGTCAAGATGAAGCCTTGGTTCACCTCTTCAAACGTGAATCAAAGATTCAAAGCAAACATTGGAAACACTCTGGTTCTCCACCTCAAAGAAGTTCAAGAAGACAGTTCCTGTTGGCAAGGTGATTGCTTCTGTTTTTTCCGATTCTCAAGGTGTAATCATAATAGGCTACCTGGTAAAGGGAAGAATTATTAATAGACAGTACTATGCATCCTAATTAAACCAACTGAAAGAAGTAATCAAGTTGAAATTTAGAGGTAAGATGAGGGCAGATGTGGTCTTGCTCTAGGATAACACACCTATTCACACTGCTCAGGTTGCAGTAGCTGAATAAGCCAACTATGGATTTGAATTGAACTTTGCTCCATCTGAATTCTTCCGGCTTCCTAAACTCAAATCCCACCTATGTGGTATCCATTTTGGAAACAATGATGAGATCATGTGTTCTGTAGAGGAGTTATTGGAGGACCAGGATGCCATCTTCTTCTGTGATGGGATTGTAATGCTTAGTTGGACTAATTTCACGGATATCAAGGGGACTAAATTGAACAATACCAAATAACTATCTTGTTTCTCCAACTCCTTATAAAAATCCATTCTAAAAATTCTCTTGATTTACGTTTGGATACAAAACTATGTGTAGATATGAAAAACTTTGAGAGATCTATAATGGGAGAAATTTCGCTTGAAAGCGTGAAATTTAGCCTTCCCTGAACAACTGTTCTCCTTGGCCAAGTAGGCAAGGCATACCAGGCTAAATGGTAACTCCATCTGTCCTGAAGGGCACAAGTTCCATTCCTGCTGGAGGATGCAAAATTTTCTTTAATAAAATTCAAGCCGGTAGACCAAAAAAAATAAATATATTGTTTAATAAATAAATGGGGTGTCTACTTAAATACGAGTATCTACTAAAGAATAATGTTTAAGTAATAAATAATAACATTAAATAATATCATCTGTCGGATTAATAAATAAAAATAGATTCCTTTCTTTATATATATTAATTTTTTTTTACAATGAGACCTATATAATATTTTTGTGTTAAATTTGTCTTATGTTAATATGATTTTGATTGTCTGTGATATTTTGATGTATATGTGTGCAAATTGGACTAAATTTTGACAAATCAGCCTCAATTTGAGAAATTAATGTTGCTTGTTGATTAGATATATAGATAGAAATGGACAGATTTAAATAGATAGATACATAGACATTAACAGACTGAGATAGATAGATAGATAGAAATAGAAATGGACAAATTTAAATAGATACACATAGATAAGGAAAATTTAAATAGATAGATACATAGATATGAACAGACTGAGATAGATAGATAGATAGATAGATAGATAGAAATGGACAAATTTAAATAGATAGATACATAGATATGAACAGACTGAGATAGATAGATAGATAGATAGATAGATAGATGGACAGATTTAGATAGATGATAGATAGATAGATAAAATAGATAGTTATTCTTATAATAATTGGAATCCTGGGTATGATAAAATAAAAATCTGATTAATAAAAATCCATTCTAAAAATTCTCTTGGTTTACGTTTGGATATAAAATTATGTGCAGATATGAAAAACTTCAAGAGATCTGTGACAAGGGAAATTTCATTTGGAAGTGTGAAATGGTATCATTCCAAACCAGAGAATCTGATCAAAATCAACCAAATCAAGATCTTATGCAATTTCAACAGTCAAAAAGACTGCCACCAAAGCAGACATTACCGTTGTTGAAAAATATAAGACCAAACAAGAAAAAAAAAAAACCTCTTGAAACACTTACACTGTCCCCTAGATTGGGGTTGCCAGAACGTAGGACATTCAGGCCACTATTGTCCTCCAGATATCATTGGGACCCATAACACCGAACCTAAAGACCTACATTAAGACAATCGGAATAAACCCTTGTATTTCATTGCTTCAGAAGTCTTCATTACTTGACACATATTCTGTGAAAGATGAGGTTGTCTGACTTGGGGAGAAAATAGCTGAGTTTACCAGCAAATGTTGGAGTTGCTCTGGTTGTCAGCCACATTTAGATGCTACGGAGCTCTCATATACACGCCTAATTTGGTGTAGAACTGGTGCAAGAGACATTTTCTGTGCATTTTTTGACAAGTCAATTTGGCTTTCGTCATTTTTTTTTTAACTATGGAGGCTGCAGTCAACTACCAAAACATCAAAATACCAAAACTGCAAATCCCGTTGCTTCAGAAGTTAGAATGTAAAATAATTTAATACAACAATATGTACACTTATCATAATTTCTAAAACCTCAGGCTGGAGAAGTTTTAAGTTTTTATTATGGATTTATTCATGCATAATGCAGTTTTTTTTTCATGGGCCAAAACCCTTTAAGCTTCAGGGATGAAGCTTAAGAGGTGTTGGATAAACCAGGATGACCTCCAAGCTTAAACAGAACTTATATCAAGTCTATTTATATGTTTACAATAAATGCGCAATTTCTTCAGCTAACTACGTTGATCTGGGAGGGGGATGACTGTTTCCACTTTTTTCATATCTATCTCATTTGGTTCAAATTCTATCTCTTTCTATCTATCTATCTATCTCATTCTATTCAATATCTATCTATCTCATTCTGCTCAATATCTATCTATCTCATTCTGCTCAATATTTATCTATCTATCTACCCCATTCTGCTCAATATCTATCTATCTATCTATCTATCTATCTATCTATCTATCTATCTATCTCATTCTGCTCAATGTCTATCTATCTAATTCTGCTCAATAGCTATCCATCTATCTATCTATCTATCCTCCTTAAATTGCCACACCCCTTAAATTCTGGGGCTTACCTCTCCACTAACCAATACTGATATTTTGTATTCCTGAAGTAGACCCTCAAACTAGTATAACCTTAGATTAACTGGGACTTATATCAAGTCTATTTATTTTTTTTTAAGCAAATCACCCAAGCAAAGCAGAAGTGCCACTAGCACGCAAGGGGTTACAGAGAATGAGAGCAAGAATAAAAAGGGGTGCTTGAGAAAAGGATATAGAGAAGGACAACGATCAGGATCAAGGCATCAAAAGATGTTGATTGACATTACATTTGAATATTATAGCTATCAGTGAAGCAAGTAAAAGGAATGGAGTTCCATTGTCAGGAAGTGTGAGAGAAGAACTGTTGGAGTAGAAAAGGTGGTTACATTTAATTGTTTCGACAGTGAAAGGGTGGGACCGAGATGCCAACCTAGTAACACGCTTAAATTCATGCAGTTTGGGAACCAGTGAAAGTAGCTCGTCAGAACAGTTGCCATGAAAGTACTGGTAGAAAAGACAGAGGGAAGCCACAGCACGTCTGTGAGAAAGTGACTGCAGACAGGATGCTAGATCAGGACCAACCATGTTGCATATGTCTTTGGATTTTGTTTAGGACCGCAAGATGAACAGAGGGAGCACCAGACCATATATGGCAGCGGTATTCCATGCAAGGAAGAATGGTAGATTTGAAGGATGGACTCAGGCGAGAAAAACCTTTTGGCACAACACAGAGAACAAACTTTCTTTATGGTAGATGAAGCTATTGATTCAATGTAGTTGTTTCCACCTCAAGTCAGTGGAAAGCATGTGACCAAGCAGATGGCTGATATAATCTTTTGTTTACACAAAAGGTGACACTTTTGTTATTTCAACCTCTAAAGGTTCTATGACAATGAAAATTGTTTTTTTCTTGATATTTCATAGTCACTTTACTGTTTCAGAGTTTAGTTAGTCTCTTGGGTCATTCATAAGAGTTTGTTATATAATTTTGTTTTTGTATTCAGCATCTATGCTCCCTACCCACCTTGGAATTCTGTTATATAACGTACATATAAACACTAATGTATATATGTCCCAATCCTTATATATATGTTAGACGCTATTGTAAGTGGGGGTATTATGCTGTCTTAGTCCACCACTAGCAGTGGTTTACCTACTTCACGCTGCTGGCGAGTATTGTATTTTGTTGATGTTATAAAGATTACGATTTCAGTTCCAACCTCCGTTTTGGTTATTCCTCATTCAGTAACCTTTTCCTAGGATACAAGATTTTGGCGACGAGGATGAGGCAAAAATATACAGGGTGCGAGGGATAAATTGTCGTCTAAATGAGGCCGAAATGAAAATAACACTGGCATCTCATTTGAACAGATATACAGGGGGCGAGGGATAAATTGTCGTCTAAAAGAGGTCAAAATGAAAATAATACTGGCATCTCTCATTTCAACAGATATATTTACCAAAATTACACAAAAATATCTTGAAATACTAAAGAGTAAATTTATTGAATAATATTTGCTTCAACCACAGCCTCTGAACGACTTCCGAATCACCTGCATCTCTAACAAACTCAACTGGAATTTGAACTTGGATCTCCAAGTTCTCACTCCAAGCCAATAACCATTACAACGCACGTACCCTTTACCAGAACAAAAACTGTTATATACCATACATATGAACACTAATGGTTATGTCCCAATCCTCAGAAATACATTGGACACTATTGTAAGTGGGGGTAATATTGTTACGAGGATGCACTTCTATAATAAGAAAGTCTCAATAAGGTTAAAATTTATAGTAAGGGATTCTACTGAGTCCTTCCTGTTAATACAAAAAAGTTTTCTTTCATGAAGTAGATATAAAATAAAGAAATTTAAAATAGAACGTTTGGAAGATTCTATATCATTCCAGTATATTCGAGAAGAATCTAGATGATTCAAGAAACATCTAGAAATATGCAAATTAGGTGTTAGCCCCTATAAAAATGGGATTTTGGAAAAGGGTCGTCAGTTGATGAATGGGAATTTTTGCTGTTATCAACTCCAGCTTTTGATTCGAGGACTATTATATCCAACCGAAAGAATCTCTATAAAAAGTTGCCGACCAACAAAAAACCAAAAGAGAATTTCATGGAACAAATTTGGTAAATAGAATTTTGACTAATTTTCATTGACCAAACTAAAAATTAATATTTATTTACACACCTTTGTGGATTTCCAAATATAGCACTTAGATTACTTCACTAGCCCTAAAGTGATAAAGATATTTGACTCCCTTTCCTTCTCCCTCGTAACACTTGCCAGTAACTCTGTTTTCTGTTTTGTAGGCCACAATTGTTTATCTTGTATATATTCTATGTTGTGTTTTAGTAAATTAAATATTTGTTTGTGATTTAGCTCTGTGTTGTGGTAAATCATTTTTTTTTTTTCCTCTGTTACAATTATCAACACGTAACAATATACTGTCTAAGTAGTGCACCATTAGCAGTGGTTTACCTACTTCACGCCGCTGGCGAGTACTGTATTTTGTTGATGTTATAAAGATTACCATTTCATTTCCAACCTCCTTTTTAGTTATTCCTCACTCAGTAACCCTTCCTAAGTTACAAGTTCTTTCTTAAGGGATGCTATCAGGTGGGACAAATGCCATTCACCCTGATAAACTGGGGTTACAAAGACAATATAGTTAAGCTGAAAGTGGCTGTAAGCATCTGGATTCCCCCACCATATCTACCCAAGTAGAGTATGATGTAAGGACTTGCAATCATGCCGTAGCCGTTCTCTTTCATCCCCACTAGCTCTTGCCACTATGTGACAAGCTGATTGGTTTGGATTGCGCCAAGCCATCCATCCATCTATCCCAGGTTGGGACCAAAGTGGCGTGTTGTGGAAACACCTGGCCATTTTATGCCAGATCAGGAGTCACTTAGTCATCAGGCCTCTATTCCTGGATGTCACGAGTGCCACCCACAGCAAACAAGTGGCCCTTATTGAGTGAGGTTTTTGGATTTGGGGAATCAGTTTTCTTAAATGTACACTTCATATAGTTTGTAGATTATGATTTTTGTTGGTAGTTTAAAGGTGTCTATTTTATTTATTTTTTTCTAATACATTGTACGACAAAACTATACTATTTTTCCTGAAGAAAACCATCCTAGGTATAAACAGGTAGGTTGTAGGCTTATATAAGCAATCAGCATGTAGGTGAAGTTTTCCTCATACAAATAATTAATTTCTAATCCATATTGCTTACTATACTATGCCTGGTTGTAGTTTAATGTCCTAGCTAGGACATAGGTGAACTTGTTTTGTGAAAAAACCCCATGATTACAGTTTAGCTTCATATCCAGGATGTAGATGCAGTTTAACGTTATGCCATGGACAAGGTGGTAGTCAAATCACATTGAAGAAGCCTTCACTATAAGTTTAAACATTCATCTGTTTGCCTTTACATGTTGCAAAATTATCATTAATGCAGTGGAAAGAACCGTCATGGGTAAGCCAATAAATTACATCCGTGTTCTGAGTAAGATGATAAACTACATCTGCGACCTGGGTAAGGTGATAAACTACATCTGTGTCCTGGATAAGACAATAAACTATATCCATGTCCTGGGTAAGACGATAAACTACACCCACGTCCTGGGTTAAGACGATAAACTACACCCACGTCCTGGGTTAAGACGATAAACTACACCCACGTCCTGGGTTAAGGCGATAAACTACACCCACGTCCTGGGTTAAGGCGATAAACTACACCCACGTCCTGGGTAAGGCGATAAACTACACCCACGTCCTGGGTAAGACAATAAACTACATCCAGCAGCAAGGCTTTTGATCAGGAGGCTTTGAGAAGCATGGAACCACCTCTTAATTGCTGGTGTTCCCAGATACACCCAGACTTGGGGTGGTAGCACCTGTCAGGGTCCCAGCTATGGGCAAATAGTTAACCCTCTAAAAGGGGTGAAAACACTACAAAGTGTAAAAATAGGTTTTAATAGCAGTAATACTTTTTGGGAAAAATTATTGCCAGTAATACATTTTTGGAAAAAAATATTACCAGCAACAAAAATCTTGTCAGCATTAAATAACCCATTGAGGTTGATATGCCGTAAAACAAACCAAACAAAAACTCTCTTTTGAAGAAACTATACTAAAAAAACTTTTACAAAAATCACCTCAACAATTTCTTGATTATAAAATAAAAATGTCGTATTTGAACTTTATCTATTTTCTTCTTGTCATTCCAATTTTTCTTTGTGAACGAGCTGAATATTTTTACAGGGCCACATTTTCAGCCAGTTAATATGCCAAAAACTTATCTTTAAATGACCCATTGAGGTTGATATTCCATAAACCAAACCAAATCAAACCAAGTGGAAGGAATTTTTGATTTTGCTTCCAATTTGTCTGACAAAATCAGTCACAATAAAAACTTCTTTTATATGACATTTCTCTTCAGGTAGATCATGGCTCT